GAGGGAGGAGGGGAGGGAGGAGGGGAGGGAGGGAGGATGGAGAGGAGGAGGGGAGGGAGGGAGGGAGGGAGGATGGAAGGGAGGAAGAGGACAGGGAGAGGTGGATGTGGAGTCCCGGGAGGAGAGGAAGGCAGGGTGCAGACGCTCTGGGAGCACATGGCACTTGCTGAGGTGCCACGGGAAGTGAGGTTCTGCACAGCCCCACCCAGGGGGTGAGTCACGGGCCTTCCGCGACGTGGATGGCAGGACAGACCACTCCTGTGCTCTCCCAATGGGGGACTCGCGGCACCCCATCCTAAGAACCCAAGGGGCAGGGACCCGGGAGAGTTTCAAACTGTGACGGAGACTGCTCCAGGTGGCAGTGCCCAGACCTGGGAGGTCACATGGTTCCGGCTGGTGAAAGGTCAAGGAAACCGGCTGTTGGGAGGAGGGAGCGCCTGGCCAGGCCTGAGGAGCCGCGGAGAAGCCAGGGAGGAAGGACCGCAGGACCGGCTCCGCTGAGGTGGCCGTGACCAGGTGGGCTCGGCCTGCGTGGCCTTTTCTGGATTCCCACACAGGCTTCCCTCTAAGCTGGCTTCGCTGACGTCCAAGAGTACCTTCTAGAACATTCTTCAGCACAGGAACAACTGGAGGTCCAAAGCAGAGAGGCACAAAGGATCTCTGGCGGAAGATCATTCCGAGGCTGACCAGCTGACCAGAGAGAAGGACAGAGCCTGGGAGCAGAGGTCAAAGGTAAAGGTCAGTTTGGGTGTGACTAACAGGACCTGAACTAGGTCTATCACAATTTAACAAGAGGAAATGATTTGAGATTCACTAAAAATAAATTCTGTTTCACCAGTGATGGGATTTGGGATAAGCGAGAAAGAGAGGGATCAAAATAGCTTAAAGATTTGCACATAAATTACAGAATAATGGAACCAGAAACAGCAAAAGGCAGCTCCTCACGAGGAGGTGTGGAGTCAGGGTGCACTTCGACCCGACCGTGAAGAGCAGAAAACCTCGGTGGAGCGGCCCGCTCTTTGGATCTGGGTCTATGGGGAGAAGTGGAATAGGAAGCTGTAGTCTGTGTGTATTCGGGGGGTGGCTGACGACAGCGGGGGCACCAATCAGCAGCCTGCACATAGTCCCAGTTCTAATTCATAGGCTCAGAGTTTTATTTGGCAAAAAAACAGTCTTTACATTAAAATTGGAATGCTTTTCCTAGGCACTGGCCCTGACGCCTGCACCCCACCGGCCCCTGGGCGGCGTGGCCTCTGGAAAGCCCATTGACCTTCATGGAAGGTCGAACTCAAGTGGCCCAGGAGAGGTGAGCCGCTCGGGCTGGGGATGCAGCTCAGAGGTAGAGCCCTGGCCAAGAGTGTGCCAGGCCCTGGGCTCAGTCCCCAGCGCAGCAAAAGCAACAGAACCAGATCCGCTATTCTGTCAGGGTTTCTGTTAGTTTGCTAAAAGAAAGAACCCAAGGCCAAACCTTAACTATTTCCTCACTGGAAGTGGCCTGGCAGACAGGGAGGCCATGGCACTGGCCAGGAGGAGAGCGAGGACCCCTGCAGGGACCTTGAGGGTGCATGGTGTGGGCATCCAGAAGGCGCCTACCAATGCCCAGTGTTGGAGAGAGAGGCCTTTCCGCCATGCTTCCAGGTGAGTGTTGGGACCTGCAAATTAAGTTGGCAGAGAGGTCAGCAAGAGAAGAGCCGAAATCCAACCATGACATGGACAGGACTCACAGAAGAGTGTGATTCAGGGAGTTGGTTAGAACCGGGGGCTACACCTCCTTAACAGGGACAAGAAAGGTGGGTGAAGAGGGCGGGTGATGACTTTCAGCCCTGGGAGAACAAATGAGAGAGAGGGTAGTTTGTGGCCATGTTTATTTAGACCATTGGTGAGAACTCATGTTCTTTGGCTAAAGTCCCTGGGGATGTGACCTGTGACCATTGAGTTCTTTTCAGAGGGTTTGCTTTTAGGCAGATAAGAGAGTTCAGAAAAAAGCCTGTTCTTGTTCAACATCCCTAGGAATCAGGAAAATGCAAATCCAAACTACACTGAGATTTCATCTCACTGCAGTCAGAATGGCAACGATCAAGATCACAAATGATAATAAATGCGGCAAGGTGTGGGGAAGGGTGCACTCATCCACTGTTAGTGGGACTGCAAATCAGTGAACCGCTCTGGAAAAGCAGGATGAAGATTCCCAAAAAGACTAGAAATGGAACCACCATGTGACCCAGCTATCCCACCCCTCGGTATTTATACAAAAGAACTACAATCAGCATGTGATAGTGATATAATAAATGATTATAGCAGCACAACTCACGTAGCCAAGTTGTGGGACCAGACCAGAGCGAATTATATTCCATGCACACGGGATCATATCGAGATGCATGCCATGCTTACATGTAGCTATAATGCACTAATAAAGAATATTAAAACGTAAAACAATAGACAAGCACACTACATTGATCTATGATGTAAGTGCTGGAACCGTGTAGGACAAGACCACTGTCAGAGGTGGCCTCTGGGGACAGGCCCTCGAAGGAGATTTTTGCTTATGTGTTTTACTGTTTTATGTTGAAATGTATTATTTTACTATAGGCAGATCTTTCTTATGGAATTTTTTAAATTAAAAAAAGAATTTTCTGGGCTGGGGTTGTGGCTCAGCGGTAGAGCACTTGCCTAGCAGGTGCGAGGCCCTGGGTTCGATCCTCAGCACCACATAAAAATAAACAAAATAAATTTATTGTGTACAAATAAAAAATAAATATTTAAAAAAGAGTTTTCTCATAAAAAAGAGTTTTCTCATTCTTTGAAAAAATTCTCATTTTTAAAAAAGCCTATTCTCAAATACTTTCAGGTCAAGTGATTTATTCGTATGCCACAGTGCCATATCTGCATCCCTTGGAACGCTGGAGGTGAGGGGAATGCAAGGGCTTTAGCATTTCCAATGTACCATGTTGTTTCTAGTTTCTGGGTGACCCCTACGTGGAGTTCTAGAACTATTAGAACTTTACCAGAAGCTAAGGTGGTGTGACTGGGCATAATTCTACTTCTATCCCTTGAACTTTCCTATGGGGGAAAGCTAGGAGCAGGCAGCATTCCCCTAATGGGGAAGCCTGGGAGATGGGAGATGAGGTGAAGATGCCAGCAGAAAGGGCAGGAGCCCGGCAGCCACTGTGGTCCCACTGCAATTAGAACACTGCGGGAGATCAAAGCCAGGTGTAGTGGGCTGTGGCCTGAGAGCAGGAAACCAGGATGGAGGGGCTTGCAGGGCTTTCCAAGGGGGAGAAGATTCTAGAGTTTTATATCATAAAAAACATTGGCAGTGTTCTTCCTGACCTCCTGATTGCCACTGCTTTTTAATTTCAAGGTTTACAGTATCTAACCCACAATATAACACAAAGGTCTCATTGAACCCTCACTGTGGTCAGTGAGCTCTTCCTCTCGGCCGGTGACCTCGTGGCCACGGAGCTGTTGCACACCACAGTCACACTCCATGCCTGCTCTTCCCTGGTGCCTTACCCTGGTCTCCCTGGCACGCCTTGGGCTGCTCTGCTCCCAGGTCCTCTGGTGACGTCGCCTCCTTTCTCCCGTCCCTGGGCTCCTCCCAGTCGGTCCTGCTGGCCTGGAGTGGCGCAGAGTGGCCTTCCCTCCTGCTCACGTCAACCCCCGACCTCCCAGCAGCACGTTAGTCCGCCACTGCACTGACACATTTGAGGACCAGAAGCTAGACAGGGAGCCAGCCCTGTGGGAGCTGAGGCCACGCTGGGGATACAGGCAGCTGGGGCGGAGGAAGGAATTGAATTTGAATTGTCAGCCAAGTTGTTGGTGAATCATGTTTAAGTAGCACATTGGTGGCCTGCCACAGAGCCTCCGAGGAAGGGGCGGGTGGGGCATTTCTGCCACTGTCCACGTTGGTGGACATCCAGGAGATCTGTCCAGCTCGGTCCTTTGCGCGCTCCTGACCTTGGACAGCTGTTTGTCCAGGGCCGCGGGATTCTAGGCCAGTGAGAAGTGGACTCCTGAGAAAAGCCACCATCTCAGCGGGAGCCTTTTCCCTGGGGCGAGTTTCCAGGCAGTCCACACTTTCTCATGGTTTTAGGAAACGGACTCGCTGGGGTTTACTTCCTGGGTAGGGCTCCGGCAGCATGGGAAATGGAGAGAAGGAGCACATGTGCCCCTCAGCTGGGCCGTGACCGGAGACGGGGAGACGCGGCTCTCCCCAGGACCGCGCTCTACTCTGGCCAGAGGAGCCAGTGACCCTAACTGGCCTCAGGGGCCTGATTTCCTCCCTCGTGAGGCGCTGGCCTTGGGCGATGTTGGAGGTCGGGCCGAGGGTCTTGCACGTGCTGGACACGCTCTCTACCACTGAGCTTCAGCCCTAGCCCAACGTCCTTTCAAGAAAAGCTCCACCTGAAATGTCCTCACCCCCCTCAGTGCTGTGGGGGAAATAGAGACAGCAGGGAGCACGCAGCCTCTGAGAGACGGCTTCTGCGTCCTTCTCCCATTGTGATTCCTGACGGGCATCACGGCTGACCTCGGATGTTGTAAGAGTTCCATGGGGAGAAAAATAGAAGGAAAAGGGATTGGTTAACTCATTCTTGCTGTCTATGAATTTAGGAGCCAACTCTGACCCGTTCACACAAAGTTCCGCTTAAAACTCATGACCTGTACGTGGATATTCGGAATCTGGGTCGTTGTACAAGTGGAGGGTGAGTGGGAAGTGAGTGGGACAAGAGGGGAGATGTGTCCTTGAGGTGACGCAGCCGCCATCCGAGGCCTCTCCCCTGGACTGCTGGCCCCTGCTGTCAGCATCTGGACGGGGCAGAAGCGCAGTGTTGGTTGATTCCCACCTTTGTCATTCCTTATGAGGTTCCTGACTTTCCTCCTATCTGACTGCATGACGATGCTGTCTGCTGTAGTGAGGCTGTAAGTTTCTCCAAAAGGACAACTGTGTCTTCTCCACAATGTGGAAAGCGTGGCAGGAGGGAGGGAGGGAGGGAGGGAGGGACGCCTCGGCCCAGCACATGCCCACAGGTGCCCAGTGCTGTCCTTCTCAGCCGTCGGTTCCACATCTGCCACACCTGCCCGGCCTCGCTCCTTCCTGGCACGAGTTTCTCCAGTATTATAATATGAAAGATCTGTAACTTCACTTCACGGGGAGCCCTACACACCCACACCCTAGATTCTCTTTGGTAGTAATTAACCCGAGTCGATGACAAGTCAGACGCGGAGGTGTTTTCTATTACAGAGAACACGGGCCTTCCCAACAGGGGACCGTAGGCCAATAGCCAAGATCCCCACTTTTCAGAACCAAGTCGTGTGCAGATCTTAGGTTTGGGGGTCCTCTTTTTTGACACTTGGCGTGATGACTGCAGTGAGACCCTTTCGCCTGCCTGTCCGGCTCTCAGACTGCCTGTCCGGCTCTCAGGCTGCCTGCGCTTGGCTGCATCTCCAAAGCCCAAAAGCCTCAGGCCCAGGCCTCAGGCTGCGGCTCCTGTGCAGATCACTCTGCTCCCCCTCCCCAGCTCCTCCCGTCTGACAATCCTGTGATTGCCCTGGGCCGCTTGGATGACCCAGGACAATTTCCCGCTTTTTAAAAGAATTTGTTTATTTATTCTAACTAGGTATATAGAACAGCAGAACGCACTTTGACTCATCGTACACAATGGAGCACGACTTTTCGTCTCTGGTTGTGCACGATGTAGAGTCCCACCACGTGTGCAGTCACACAGGTACCTCGGGTGACGATGTCCATCTCATTCCACCATCTTTCCTGCCCCCATGACCCTCCCACCTCTCCCTCCCCTTTGTCCAATAAAAGTTCCTCCATTCCCCCCCATTTTGGATCAGCACCCACTTATCAGAGAGAGCATCCGGCTTGTTCTGGTTTCACTGGGCATTGAGCCCGGGTGCTCTACCGCTGAGCTCCAGACCCCAGACCCTATTTTGAGGCAGGGTGTCAGCTGCTCCCCACGCTGGCCGCAGACTTGCACTCTTCCTGCCGCAGTCCCCAGAGGAGCGGGGTTTCCGGCTTGTGCACGGCATGATCTCCCTGTTCTAAAGTCTGTGGATGACAGCCCTCATCCCGCTTCCCAGGCGGCTTAACGCACCCGCGGCTCCTGGAGGTTTCCTCGTGGGCCCTTCTCAGGAGCTTGAGGCTGCCTGCCCTCTCACTGACAGGAAGTGTGTGTTCAGGGTGGTTTCATTACTATGAAGCTATGATTTTCATTTTGGAAAGCCTCCACGTCCTCCAGATCCTCTGACTGTAGGAACATGCTTCCTGAGATCTTTTTTTTAAACAGCTGTATTTTCC